GGCGACACAATCAAATTTCATCATTTTGCGATAAATAAAATTTTCCCACGGAAAAAGAGTTCATAATTTTAAAATTAGAGAACCTTGAGGGTAATTTCTATCCTTTTGTTCAATAAAAAAGAAGGCTAAGAAACGAAACAGGAAACTGTCGCAGTAGAACTCCGGTAACTCAAACTTTGGATGGGTAAGGAAAAACATTTCTAGTAAACGAAGGTTCGAGTTATCGGGGTCGATTGCAAAATTCAATTTTCAGTATTAAAAATTGATAGTTACTGATTTTTCAGCAGTTTAGTGTATAGTGCTATTAACATGATTTTATGAGCATTTTTATGATTAAACGTTAGAAACGTGATCTGTTCGTTGCACCAATTAAAATCAATTGCCGTAAGTGGGTAGATTTAGTGTGTTCACGGATTATGCAACAAGAAGAGCTAATGGAATGGCATCCGAATAGAGTTACAGGAACTAGAATTCTAGTGACTGAAAAATGGGGTAAAATCCAAGAGAAACTACACGTCTTCTTACGAGCATTTGAGTATTTTAAATAATAAGCAAATTTTCACTGTCAATTTGTGAAAAATAATTTTCTTTGAAACTGGACGATTGTGGCTTGTTTGTAACAAGCCAGTAATAGAGGCTTTTGTTTTCTGTGGCGTGCTTTGCGAGAATTTTGCAATTAATCAGTAAAGAAGCGTGTCAACTTAAAGTACACTAATTACGGGATTTCAACTACTATTCTGTCGTTTAGAAAAGGTCAAACTGGACGATTGTGGCTTGTTTGTAACTAGCCAATAGAGAATTTTGTTTTCTGTGGTGCGCGTTACGAGAATTTTACAGTTTATCAATAAGCTATGTTCTAAAAGAATTGGCTGATACTTTTAGCTGTGCGTATATCGAGTTACGGATGCGCTTGGGAGGTTTGGAGAACACTCAATAAGCTAGAGTTGCTTTCGCCTACGCCTCGAGGAATAACTCTTACGCTTCTTTCGTGCTCTTCAAACTCAGTCCCTGGCATCCATGACTCCATATAGCACGCTAAGCATGAAAAAATTCTTACATATAGTTAGAGATCGATTGATTTATTAATTCATTGGTTTTAAAATGGCCATTATTTTCTCAGGTTCTATTTCTACCATTTATAAAAGACCTGGTATGATTGATATTGATATTGATATTTAACATTGATATTTAGGGCTTAATAATAAATACAGTCCCAAGAAATACCATCAGAGATCAGCCAATATATATAACGTGTATTTCATGTAGGCCTCGCGGTGAATGACTTTTCTGCAAACGTAATTAAACAATTCCTCTTATTTATTTCGAACTGGATTGTCGTTCAGAATTCAAACTTTTCATCAAACCAAGGTTGCCTTCTTTTATGTAGTTCAAATAAAAATATTAACGAAGTAGCAACAGATTTCTATTTTGCTTTGTCATCTTATAAATTATGTAATGCAATTTTATGGATTCTTAATTACATCCGACTTATCAGAAACTTTCGTTTGGCCCAGAAATTAAATAACCTCTTCTTAAGCAGACTCCTGAGTTTCCGGGTATAGACAAACTGCCGAACGAAAATAGAAGTTCAATAACGAATGTGAGGTGCCTTAATGCAATAAGTACTCAAATATCACTAATGTATACATTTGTAACATATATATGGTCGTCTAGGGATTAGTTTGTCCGAACCACGTCATTGATACAACCTAAAAATAACATTAACAGTTGTGGCTTATACTTTCCGGTTAGAAAATTCCTGTGTGCAATAAGCATTTTCTCTGTTAGGTTGAAACTCTTGTAGTTTACTCTTAAATAGGGGGAACGTAACCCCCTTCCCCATCCCTAAAATCCACCTGTTTGATTAGGGCATTGGAACCTATCTTAGTGTGGAAATTTAAAATGTATCAAGTAGTGATGTTTTTATTATTATCATTTACTCACCAATGAATCTGCAATGTTTCATTCTGGATTATTTGGTAACATAGGTAATGCACTCTAGGCTTATTAATAACCGGATCTTTGAAAGAGATACTATTGCACGTGGTCATATCAATCGGGCCTTGGGGACTAACGCGGACAAAAACGTATTTAGAGTTTACGTTAATGAGTGACCTTCGTAGTCTGCTACTTAAAATGCATTCAGCTATCACCATTAAAGAAAAAATTCATGAAGGCGCTGAATTTTATTTTATTATGAAAAATTAACTGTCTTAAATATTTTATGATTTGTTAGTATATGTCTGAATGAAACTCCTATCTGATATCTTAGAGACCTATTTCCTTTTGTCTAGTTATTAGTTGGCAGTTCAGTTTCAAAAGGACTCCGATGAGACTGTTCTAGAATGAGGAGAGGGTAGTTTTACTTTAGCCTCTGACTTTAAAGCTAATGCATGTTTCCAATAGCGTGACTGAATTCTACTGTGTCACTGCTGTGTCGATACTGTGCCAGCAGGCTTAGCTCAGTGATAACGCGCTGAACAGTTTTGTATATTATATAGCATTAATCCAAACTGTGATGTCTGAACTAACTAATTGAGTAAACAATCACTGCTACCGTACATAGCGCTTTACATATAATCAAGAAAGAGTAGAATAATATCTTAAAGATAAATATATACAAAAAAACCTGCTTTCGTCGTTTTGGGGCTTTACGTCTCCGAAGCGCAAAGATTTCCGGCACGCATACTGAGCTAGCTCCCACAAAGAACCGTAGTAATTAATGCATTCAATCTAAAGACACATCTGTGAACGTCATTTAGTTTCTCCCTTCAACTGGAAAATCAATTCTAACAGCGCCTGTTTTGCAAAGTTTCGAGTTATTTATAACAGAACTCCAAAGAACGAATTAAAGCCGCCTAATTGCCGCGGGTCAATATACTCCTCATAATTTGTGTTACGCAACTTAAATAGAGATTGCTCCATGGCGGTATCATAGACGAAACGTTGGTTATCGTCCATCAAGGTAAAATATCAATAAGGTGTTTCAAATGTATATGGTTTGTTTCAAGATGTAGACCGTCTAGTCCTTGGATGCAATTCAAGACCTATCAATGTACGTAAGTCAGGTCAGTATCGGCTTATATTCAGGTGCGAGATAAGGCTGACTGAGTTTCACCTTAGAGACAGTATAAAACAGCAGTAACAAATGAATTTCTTTTTCCCTATTTTTAAAACTTATTTAGGCTATCTAGAGTGCTTTGACTGAAGCTCTATAAAATAATTGCACCATGTACGGGAATCCGGATTCAGGAAACCGGAAATTTTCGTGGAAACTGGAAACCTTGGCTGGGTTGTTCAAAGCTGCGTTAAGTTAAGATAACCCAGGCTGAATGCGAAATTTGAATGAGATATGAAAGAGTTAAAAAGCAAATTAATTCCTTCTGTCTACAACTTGATGATTGGGTGCTCCAAAGGGAATAGAGAAAATTATCCGAGAAAAATGCTTCATTTTTTAACAAAAGAGAAAGAAACCCGGATTACGATATAACCACGTGTTAGCACTAATCTTCCTTCGAACAACTGGACCTTGGGCCTTGTTCCTCGAAAGATTGTTAAGTTTAACATGATTAAGCCAAATTTTAAACAAGGTTCTCTTTCTTCGAGCTTGCAAAATACTGCTGAGCCCTTACGCGGAAATACAAAAATGATAACACCGTGAAATGTTACTCTAACCAATACATAGAAAGGTAAGTACAAAAGGTGGAACAAAATTGTAATCCTGGATTAGCGCTAATTGGCTTTTCAGGAACCGGGCCATGGTCTTTGGAATCCGGAATACAGGTTAAGGATTCCGGATCCCACTAACGATTGGAATCAGGAATCCAAGTTCCACTGACAAAGAATCTGGAATCCGGAATCCAAGGTGCAGAGTCCAGAATCCAAGACTGTATTGGATTATCTTAAATGAGGCGGTAAATTGCTAAGCGAATTCCTTTTTTTAAAAAAATAAAGGAACGAAGTCTTAAAATACAAATAAAACAAGAAATTTTCTTTCTTTTTCAAGATTCAATGTATTTTTAAGATTTCTATTCTTGCAATAACTTTAATTAAATATATCGTAATTACCATATTCTTAATGTGAATTCTTTCCTAATTTCCTTCTTTGTAACCTTCCTGGTTTGATTATTTCTTGGTCACCGTAAGTCAATTTAAGCATTATGCTCTTTCAATTTTTTTAAAGAAGAAATAAAACCCTCCAAAACAGTTACTAATTAAGCGTTGCTCACTGACTACAGTAAAAACCCGCAACTAAGAACCTAAAAATTAAGAACCTGTTAGCCTAAAATTGGTCATTTATACCCTTTATAAACAAGAACCTATTTAGCCTAAGAAATTTAAAACAGGTTCTTATTTTCTAAAATCATACTAGTACATTACAGCTGCATTGCAAGAATCATATTTGAAGCAAAAAAAGCAGATTGGGGCTGAAGAAAATAAAAGTATAGGCTAATGACCAACTTTTTTGAAGCTGTGTTTTAATTGTTTTTTCTCCAGGATTAAGAACCCATTTTAAGAACCTAAATAGCCTAAAATTCTGTTAACTCCCATTTATATAAGAACCTGTTTAGGCTAATTCCTAAAAATGTAGGTTCTTAGTTGCGGGCTTTTACTTTACTCCCCGGCCTTTACAATTATCTTCAAACTTTGCCTCACTCAAGGCAAAAAACCAAACTTGTAGACTGTAACCATGGTGCCATCTCCTTTCACGGTGGTTTTTCCCATATCTCGTTTAACGACCGTGTCAACTTCATTTGTAATATTCGGAAATGGTGAATCGGTGCTTTCCGTTCACTATCTTTTCTTTCAAACGATACTAAATGTAGTCAGCCCCCTTATGCCTCTATGTTATTTTTGCTAAAAAGGAGGTTCAAAGTTCATTTTCTACCAGGTAATACCCACCGGTTATGGGAAAAAATGTCATTTTAATGTCTGCAATGTAAAGTAGTCGGTGATGACTTTGTTTGAGTCGATAACAACAACAACTCTATCACCTGGACTACATCAAAATGCAGAGTCAGGGTGAATACAGTGAAAAGGATCTACCCAACTCCTTCGTTACGTGCTTTTAAAATACGCGCCTTATAACTTAACGCCTGTTCAGTTGTTAGTGGACGTTTAAATCTCCAGGTATGAGCAACCTTACACTTCGTAACTCCCCAAATATACTGCTTCTAACTAAGTTGTCGGCTGCCCGCGTGTCATGCCGGACACTTCTTCAATACAGCGCACGCGACGCCATTCCAATAGTGCTCTTTTCTTTGAAATTTCAACTGTTCGGGTCGTTAGCCTGAGTATGATCGACCGGCGGTGTCTTTCTTGATCTATCAATGGACTTCATGATCCTTGCAACTTCAAATTCCCGTTTTATCCGTCAACAGGTGCAATCTTGTTGTTTCTTCGGTTCATTTCCATCTGTGGTTGTTCTTGTCTGCAGGACTGGGCCTCTGGAGTTGAACTAGAGATCGCTGGCGGTCTCCCGATCTTAAACAAATGCCAGGCTTGCCTTCTAACGTTTTGTAGCTTTTTATTCCATGCTGCTCTTATCTTAAACAAGGATGGAGACGATGGTTAGAAACGAGAAAGTGTTGCTGAGGAAGTGGGGGGGGAGGTGTAACGAAATTTGGTCAAAGTCAGGAACAGAAACTACTCATCAATTTGAGCAAAAAGAACTTAACACTGAGAGATAAGGCTCGAATGGCTAAATAGGCCATTTCCGAGTTACCTCAGGAAATAGCTTAAAGATTTGGAGAGACTTACCTCAGAATTTCTTATACAGTGTAAGAGGAAAATCAACAATCCCTGAAGTAACCAAAAGACAGAAGGAGATAATAAAATTACTATCATTCGCTATATATTTCATAGAGACAAACCATTTGCCGGCTCTGCAACTCCATCCAAGAATACACTCAATGAAAAGTCAGTAACATCCTTTCAAAAATTTGCATCCTCAACACATCTTTATGCCAAGCAGTAGTGCAGCAGTTGTTAGATTAAGAAGACTTTCGAGAAGAATCTATCCATTTGTAACAATTTTAACTAAAGTAAGATTCATGAATCACAGAAAAAGAGGTCGTTTCAGAGCAAGCTTTCACTCTACAAAGGATACTTGACTATCACCACTCCATGTGAGCAGGGAAAATGGTTACAAGCTGTCGGGGCAATGATTTATGGAATCATTTGGGCGTACAAGCTAAGCGTGAGCTTTGATGGGTGGATAGAATCCAAGGGCAACCATTAAGCAATCACTGGTTATGTTGCTTACCAAAATGATCACAGATCCCAATCTTTGCGTGGTTAGCTTGAGCCCTTGCCCCCAGTGTAGTTTTTAGAGTGGCAAACATATTAGAGTGCTTTTTAAAATTTTCCCTTGATTTTCTTCGAACATTTTTTTCTCGTTAAACTCAGGGGTAATGGTGAAGTATACCATGAAACCATAAGTCTAGGTGAGTTATACAGACCGTTTATTGTTCTTAGTATATTTCTTCACTTACCTGTAGTGTGTTAAGCACCGTAAAAACATATTGTGAAACAAGTCCAGCGTTAGAGAGACTCAGCAAACCAAACAACCACGTGACTCCCAAAAGAGGAAATAACACAATGCAAGCTTTTACAGTTGTCCTAATAAACAGAGACTGACTTAAGTTAGTTATTCGGTTCAAGAGTCAGAAAATAAAAGTCTTGCGTTATCCACCCAAACGACTTTGGAGCCATATCTTCTGTAGAAGCTTGTAGACTACCCTGATTTTATGTAAATCTGGGATCTCTTGTTTAGAAAGAAACTGATTTCAGAAAATTTGTGTTTGCCAGCACCGAGAGGCGTTGGCGCGAGAGTTTTTAACTAAAATCTCGCTTCACTGCACCTGATTTATATTTCTAACTGGCTATACAGTTGCCCCTTGTGGTAATAATTTAACAATAAGAAATGAGCTATGTTTTGTAGCGTACAGTATGCCCCTCAGTGAATTAAAGGCAAGCGTGAAGATGCTTTTTTTTGGAGGGGGGTGGGGTAGGGTTAAGTTCGGGCACTCTATCCCCGTCTCCAAACCTTCTCTATATAGGCCTGAATATTGAAGGCGCGTTTAGTGGCCTTCTTGTGCTTTGAAAACAGAAGCGGAAGGGGGAGAGTAGGGACTTCAGCCCAACTACGCCACTAACTTTATTCCATGGAACTTTCCGGACCGTGCGCTTGGCATAGCAACCATTTCCTTAACGACCCCACAAAACACCACCGCGTTTATCTGAAGAAAAAACACAAAATCTAGTTATAAATTAGTCATATTGTCGTACATGTGAGGACGCATTTTATAGTAGCGATGACAAAAATTGATAAACGAGACTTTTTTTCGAAAACGAAAAGTAATAATAATCTCTAACCAATGATTATCGCCAGGCTCTATTTATATCACTTCTCGGTGTTTGAAACGCTCCATCCTCCGAACAGTTTTTTGGTCCTTCAGGCGAAGAATGAGGCATATTTGTAGAATCAAGAGCTATGATCGGGGTGTAGCTCCTGGTTTTAAAGGTGATGTTACGCGGGGACGATTCGCAAAGACGGTTTTTAGCGCAACACAGCTTTTCAATGTTGGAACAGTGTTGCAACCATTTGAAACAATGTTGCAACAATGTTGCAACGCTGTATTGCGCTAAAAATCGTCTTTGCGAATGGTCCCGTGTAACATCACCTTAAGTATGATGTAAATTGGTTGAACACATGAAAGTCTTATCAGGATTTTGTTTACTTGTTTGTTTGTTTGTATATTTTATGCGGGCGTAAGAATTGATAGCATAACAAATTGTCAGTAAAACGGAGTCTGCGATAGCTACTTACAACAGTTATTAATATCACTGGTGCTGCAAACGACCATATATAGTACTTTTCTGTCGATAGCCAGCACCTAATTGTAATAAAGATAAGACAAAATTTTCTGCTTAAACAATGACTTGTACCTTACAAGCGGCACACCTATATTTCGTTGACTTTATAGCTAATGAGAAATTCAGTAAAGAAATTTTCGTGTATACACATAAAAAAAAAGAATCCCAAAAGTTGATTGAGCATTAAGCTGGTGATCATGATGTACACGGTTCAGCATTTATTGCAGCTCCTGTTCAACAAATGTTGAACAGTGTGTCAGGCGGCCAGGTCATTCATCTATTTTTATTACCACATGATTGATAGATAGATCGATAGATAGATAGATAGATAGATAGATAGATAGATAGATAGATAGATAGATAGACAGACAGACAAAACAGACAGACAGACAGATAGATAGTTAGATAGATAGATAGATAGATAGATACATAGCTTGCTTTATTCTCAACAGAGCGCCTAAAGGCACATGTGCTTACAGCGATTACAAAGAGTACAGTGCAATAATTGTAGTACAAGGGACGTGGAATGACAGTAGAAGTTCTCTTTTGACTACAGAGGTGTACATTTGTAAAATTTATACCATTAGACAAGGTTATATTTAACGCATCTTTCACTTTCGTGCAAACGATCACATAGTTTACGGGTATTTAGCCACAATTTTTTGCGTTTTTTCTCCTTGCTTCATACTTATCAACTTTACAAAAGCAGTGCTTGGAGTCATAGAGTCAAGAAAAAGATTAGTTTCTGTATCGACATGATGTTAGTACTTGTTTCCTTACGAGTCTCTATATAGTCAGTTGCAAAGGCAATGAGAAAATCTTACCATCTACTGGATTTGTATTGATAAATCCCTTTTTCTCCCAAATGGGCAATTAACACTGTTACTCCAACAACAAGTCCTGGGATACCTGTTCACAAAAAAATGACCATCATATGATTAATTGTATTTTGTTTAGTAAGATTTATAATAAAGGATTAATCTTCAACACAACAAGAATTTAAGATAACGAACGACACTGAAGTGAGTTCATAGGTGGTTTAGTGACTGGAAGTAAGCTCGTGCGTAAAAGTCACCAAGTCAACTAGTGAAGTATTTGACCCGACTTCCGGCATCACTGTTAAGCACTTTGAAAGATCAATGCAACCCAAAGAGGTTTGGTGTATACTATATTTTACCGGAATAGACGAGACAGACAGCAGATATAGCAAATTAGCAAAATCTAGGTAAGGTGTTTTACATTGTCATAAAGGCATCAGCTTTGTTTGAATATTTTACCGTTTTTTCGGCTTTAACTAGTGTTTCTTCAAGAGACTTACCGAATGAAAAACTGTAGCAAAGACGGAGCTTGAGTTCGTTATTGTAGACTTCAATGATTAATAAGTATAACATAATGCCCTCGATCAACATCCAGCAGAAGGCTGACAGACAGAAGTAGTGTAATAAAGCGGCCACTGTCAAACACAGCACCTATTGGAACAGAATGATGCGTTATGGTAACCTGATTCAAGATATTTCTCCGTTTCTGATTACCTTAAATCTCCCGGCTATTTTTATGTAACGTGCTAACACTGACCACATTAAATTTAGAAGTTTTTAGTCCTAGGGAGAGTAGTACGTCATCTCAGCCTGCCGCCAAATTTCGGCTATAAGCAAGCGGCACTCAAACAGTGACACTACGGGGTTTCTCGTTCATTTGCTTTCGCTTTTAGTAAAACGCAGATTCGAGTCGAGTATTATTCTCACGTAGTAGCTACGCCACAAGACAGGTCTTCACGTTCTAGGATTTGACGCTACAGCGAAAGGTCATTTCCAAGCATGCGCATTGCTTTCCAATCGCGGTAGTAGAGGTCGCAGTAGTGACTTGTTTAAATTTGTTATTGTCTACCATGTCATCATCTTCAACCTCGTGATTATCGTCGTCGTCATTAACATCATCACCATCGTAGTTATCACTCATGGTTATCGCCTTGGTTTCGTCCTCATTATCGTCGTCATCACCTCTATCATCATGATCACCATCCACCTTCTCCCTCTACACCTCCTATTCTTTGTTACCATTATCAGCATGTTATTATTCATAATTAAACTACTCTTAATCACCTGATCTTGTGAAGCGTCTATTCCTGCCAGAAAAATCACTTGAGCCATTGCAAGCGTGGCAACTAAGTTCATGTGCACATGACTTTGCTGGTCATTATTTGAACATCTACAGAGGATATAAAAAGCGTACAGTTATGTGTCAACTATTGTACTACTTGCTGGTAAAAATTTATTTTTAGAAAATATTCTAAGGTTTGGCTAAGAGATCTAGTACTTTTAGAAAAAGCAAAAGGTCCTTAAATTGATGTAATAGCTGCTTTAATTTATAGCTAGTCACGTTTAAACTCGCAAACTAGCGTTATACGCATATTTCGTAGTAAAAATGAATAATGAAAAACTTGAATTGCTTCTTTTGGCTAATTGTAACCTTCGCTATTCGAGAACTTGTAAACAACAACAACAGCAACAACAAGCCGAGAAGATTTTCTTGTCAACGTTATGATAGTGTACATAGTATCTCATGGAATAATCCTACTAGCGGCTCTATTTCAAGTTTGTAATACTTACAACAGTAGCATATAGGCAACGATTGTAATAGTTTCTGCCAGTAAGGAAACTCCCAGTCCAATGTATGTGATAAAGTCTAAGGCTTTTTTGTGCTTCTCTGGGATCTGAAAAGGACAAAAAGAATAAACATAAAGTTTGCATCTACAATTTTTCAGCAAGTATAGAAATACGTTCTTTTACATCGGATTGATGTAAGGGTTTTGAGTTTACATGGAATTGAATGCTACAGAGCTGCGTATACCGTTTGATTGTCGGATTATTGCTTGAATTGTTTTCTGTGGAGTTTAACTCATGATCTAGTATTTTCCCCATTAACTGGATATTAAATTTTAGTTTAAAAAACTTGGTACGAAATGAAAAGGGTTTAGAAATTTCCAGAAATTATTTGCACCTTAACGTATTAGGGAGGTTTGTCTGACTTAATGACCTGGGAAGATATACCATGAATGGGGACCTTGGTCCATGGTGGGTCACGTTCAAACTTGCTGGGCAGGTTTTCGGTGAAATGTCAGACGAATTGCAACGCCTTGGGTATCCAGGTTTTGGGGTTGGGCGATGGATTAACTTCCCATTCCCGTTAAAGAATCAATTCTGAAACCAGAAAAAACTTTTCATGATAGCATGCGGAGAATTGTGAACGCCTTATGGCTCTTGGTCTGACAAAGCGCCAAGAGGCAATCAGAGGTTGAGTTGAGTCCTTTCGGCTAACAGGATCAAACGGTGTCTTCTACATAGTACTTCATAGTTTACGTTACAGATATTAACAAATACTAATATCATTTGGTTTCAACCCACAACCACATTACCTCCTGTGGCTTGATGTTCATTAAAATCGCAAAATTCGTCAGATGATTGCACGTGCACACGACGTGACTGCCGTTTGTTTTAACCAATGAACATCCATTACCTGACCAGCTGCCGTTATTTCTGAAAGGAATTGTAATACATATCAAATTAATTGATGGGGACAATTTAATAAAACTTTTGTAAGTGTAACATCATGGGTTACGAATTACTCTTTCATTTTTGCTCGAAATTTCAGCGTTAATTTATGATTTCACACAACCTCTTGTTTCACATGTGAAAAGACAACACTGCCCGCATGGCAGCCAACCATCCCGTACGTCTCAGTGTCAATGTTTTGAATGAAGATGTCAGGGCATTAAAAGAAGCTTTAGAAAACCTAAACACACGAAAGAGCATATCAAGAAGGATTCTCTGGGCATTTTGTCGAAAATTCTGAACTTGAGCTAAATACTCTAAACGCTTTAGAGAGTGGAGTTCTTGATTGATGCGATAAATCCAGGATAAACATGTCAAAAATCTACGATTGCAAACGTACTTCGTCCCCCATGATATTAATACTTGGAAACCACATGGTATATTTGTGAAATTAGGGAATAATTTCACTTGCGTTTTGTCCAAATCCTAAACATTTTCTTAGGATTTGGACAAAACGAGCTTGAAATTATTCCCTAATTACAGTCGTCACCATTTAGAGACCTTAAGATACCCCGAAATCGGTGTACGGGTAACGGGTAGCGCCATGTTTTTTTCATTTTGTGGTGACGTCATCGACCTTATCCGGTAGAACCAGCCGTTTGTCCGGGGTAGACACCAGTCTACCCGTAGAAGATTTACGAGTACCTGCAAGTCCTACATGATGGAGAAACGAGTAAGTTTTTAAGACTTTTTAAGTACAAATGTAAATTGTATGACTCCTTGGCAATGTTATTGCATGTCTGTTCAAATATTTTTGTCAAATTTGAATTTTAGCTGTAAAGAAAGCGCTTCAAAATGTATTGATTTTGGACCTCACGTGCTCAGGTTGAACTCTGGCACGATATCAATTTGTGGCGGTATTTGGGGGAATTTCTGAGAATTGCTCGAACGTTTGAGTTTCGCAAAAGAAATAGCATTGAAAAATTTAGCATGGGAGTCACTGTTGAAGTTGACAATCAAAGGAATTGTTTGGTGATGTGCCTCGATCAAATGGCGGGGTTTGCGATAACAAGCTTTCGGTCGAGGGACTTCCCACCAAGTTTCTTAAAATCATTCTATGATATTTCAATAAGCTTATGTATGAATGAATTATTTGTTGCAGCTTGTTGTTAAGATATGAAGTGTAGAATTTGAGGGAGATTTTGTATGCATTAAGCGACATGCATGTACAAAGTTAATTTTGCGTGCTTGTTCTTCGGGTATCTTAATCGAAATTGTCACGCACATGAACATTTTACGTGTACGGGTACACTACCCGTACCCGTACACCGATATCGGGGTTTTCAAATGTGCTCATTGTTTTAGCGTCTAAAAGCTATATAGCCACACTTGTAACTTGCACTTGTAATTAGCTTTATTAAATTGACTCCTGGTTTGCAAATGACGTCATGGCAGCTATGACCAAAAGGATGCCTATCGTCTGGGAACTAAACTCGAATTTCATGTAAATTCTATGAATAGAATTTTATTGTATTGACCTCCAACTTGGCCGCCATGTCACGTGGTTGCAAACTAAGAATAATGGCAAATAAAATAGCTATTGTGGTGATGCGCATGCGTGCAATAATAACATCTCTTACCTATTAAAAAAATTGGGAGAAGAACTCGAAATATTTCAAGTGAGTGAAAAGTGAAATTACTGGCCTTCATTAGTAGAAATCGTACTCTCTTGGAAGAAATCTATTACACCTTTGCAAATTTTGGAGAGTTGTCTGATAATTTTTTTTATCAAGTGCTCATGGGTGTAAGCCTGTATTTTCGGCAATCTCAATAATTATCAAAAGAAATATTTCATCAGTGCTAGGCAAAAAAACTAAGAAACAGGATATCGGAATCCACTAGTACTGGTACTGCCGAATTATGTTAAAAAACTAAACTTTATCCGACAGTTGATAATACTGGCTTATCCATAGTTTATTGAGTGGAATGGTTATGAAGCCCGTCAGACTCCTTTGTTATATGTTTTTGTGGACCTAAAAGTGCACAACGTTCAAAAGAATTCCTATCATTTTGATTGTATTGACCAATAAAAACGTTGCATTAATTTATTCCGTAACAATTTGCCAACAGAAATCAAAGGATTGTGCACTTTCAGGATGCTTCCAACATAAACTGCAGCACTGTTGTTTTTATCATTGATGTTTGCCGCTTTTCATAACCAGTCTCCTCTAATAACAATGGCTTATCTAGCTAAATACGTTTTCTTACGGGTGTGAGTAGTTCCACTTCCAAAATACACATTTTTCTGTCTCCGTGTGTTCATTTCCCTGCAACATTGTAGTTAATAGTAAACTTCATATTGGGAGTACAAGAAGAATGGAAAAAAATGGGTTTAGTTTTTGTTTGTTTTTAATTGGCTTCTTTGATTATTTGTTTTTAACCTAAAATAGATATTTTCTGAACTGTTGATAGTAAATGGAGATGGAGGGTATTGAAACACGAAAGCGATGTCCCACTACCCGTCAGGCAGGCTACTGTCAGGCACATGTGCTCACAGGGCCTATGGTCCGTTTCTCCAAAGTCTCCTAACTTTTCGGGCAGGAATTCACAAATTCAAAATTTACATCTAAAGAATGCACTAGCGTGGGTCTTAGCTAACAAACCCTTCATTTTGCTATGTTAACTGATAGTTTGATTATATTATCTTGAAAACTATTGAAACCTCTATCTTGAAAATAAACAGCAAACAGTTTTTTTGGGCTCCGTTAATTATCGGGACTTTCAAGAAACTGGCCTCAGCAGGGAAAGGGATATTTATTTCGTTCAATAATAAAGTTAAGGTTATCATTATCATAGCAATTCCCATGGGTATTGCTATTGCCATAATCATAATCATAATCATAAGTATTGTTATTATCATTATCGTTATCATACTAGTACTGCTATTATTATTATCATTATTATTATTATTAGAAAAACTGCGGGAGCAACCCGCTTTTGATAGTGTTGCTTAGTTCAGTATATCGCTTGTGCGTGAAAACGTATTTACCTTGAACGTTCGGAGAACAATGGTTACATTCTCCCTAAAAACTCCATTGTGGTACGGCTTAATGCTACTTCCTAAGATGTTGGAATCGATACGTTTATTGCTGTTAAAAAAGAAGCGAGAAAATAAATGTATAAACGTTAATAACCATTCGATGTAAAAATTTGTGAGAAGCTTTAAACTACAGCGAGACGCTCCTGTAGGCAGATTAATATGTACAAAAAATTTCATCGGCAGGTTTATTTTTGAACCCTTCGATATGTTTAAAATGTTATAGCTAAATGTAAGAAAATAATTCGGTAGTGACGTTCATTTTAGAGACGATCTTTATTGGAAAAGGAATGATGCTTCAGTATAGCTAATGAAAAGTTATGGTGAAAGATCATTGCAAAAAACCGATACGATCAATCTTGCTCTAAACATTGGATCAGAAAAGATCGATCGCGATCAGTCAAAATTAATTAAAGAGTACAAATTATTGTCATAAAGACGACTGCAAGGACTGATCAATCAACGTGAAAGGACTGTAGTTACGATATTTCGACTGGCCAATATCAGTCTTTTTAGTTCATCAGGTTTAGGAAGATAACGAAATTACAGAAATATATATGCAGTACTACGATGGGCAGTGACGTAGAATGGTGATTCTACTTAAAAAATATAGAACATGGAACAAAAAATCAAATTAATTAAGATATGTTATATACAAAATATTACGCTTATTAATGCCCAGAGGCTCAAGCTTTAGTAGCTTTTAATTGTCCAACTGTTTCAGAAAAGAAAATTGAAACAATAGACCTTTTTACCGATAGGGCGGCCATATTGAATTAATTCGATTTAAGGAGTATTATAGGATACCCAGGGGGGCATGAGCGCATTTCGTTTGTATTTTCGAGCGCTTTTCGGGACATTATTTCTTAAAGTTTTCTTAGAATAAGATTGTAATGGGAACAAAGAGCCTTGTGCCGTGTTTGGATGTAATAATGATCGCCTTTTTCTAGTTTAGTATTAGAAATATGGTATTTCACTGTATATTTCTCGGGAAAAGGGCGATCATTATATACATCAAAACACAGCACAAGGATCTTTTTACCATTACAATCTTATTCTAAGAAAACTTTAAGAAAAAATGTCCCGAGAAGCGCTCGAAAATACAAACGAAATGTGCTCATGCCCCCTGGGCATCCTATAATACTCCTTAAATCGAATTAATTCAATATGGCCGCCGTATCGGTAAAAAGGTCTATTAGGCAATCAAATTGAAATGTCCACTCACTAGACTATTCTACGTTTGCTATAATCTATAAGAGTATAGACCATTGAAGATTGCCGTGCCTATTTTTGAAAATTCTCTTGTAAGGGTATAGGTGAAGCAACCATAATTTAGGTTGACAACTAACAGTAACTCAACTGATAAAATGTACCCCCTCTCTTCATCAATGCAATGATAGGATAATGCCTGAGCCCCTAGGCCTTCTTAAAAATAATGACCTCGTGCTGCGCGCTCGGTCATTATTTTTAAGAAGGCCAAGGGGCCAGGGCATTATCCGATTTTAATTAATGCGCCTTTTCATTGTTTTAGAACAAGGAAAGCCAAGAATAGCTTGAATGGTTTGCTAATTTAAGAGTCCAGAAAAACTGTATGGAATCCCGTTAGGATTTGCAGCCTTCATGTATTACAATATGAATATCTGCCTTTTCTCAAAGGGTTTTAAAATTTTTAGTTTCTAGGCTCTTTTTTCAGTTCAGCAGCTGAGTTCCATAACGCTTAGTCGACGTTGCTTTTGCTGCAATTTTGTCCAGTTGTTTTGAAAAACGTTTTTACTTCATTAGAGATGACGAGCGATGGTTTAGATGATTTGCTATCGCAGGCGGTGGATCAATACGAAAAAGAAGAGGTAGTTTTAGACGGTGGACTCGATGAAATTCTTTCCTAGAGTCTTGCTATGTTTGAGCAGAAGAGCCTTGAAGACGACGCTATCGGTATTACCCACATGTTTGAGATTGGCGGGCCTATTTTGGTGATAGGAAGGCGCTTTTAAACGGCAAAATGTAGCTGTTCTGAACATGTTTTTGTACGCCTTTCTTTTGACTTTCGCTCAATTCTTATCTTGATTTATTTGTATTGGCAGTGAACTGTGGACAGGACGAAGAGGGTCGATTTGAAATAAACGTGGAGAAAGATTTGGTTGAGCTTACCGTCCAGTCTGTATCCAAAAATACCAAAGAAAAACTTCACAGGTTTTTACACCGAGGTAAACCCGAAAGTTTCTTTTTCTCTAATGAAAATCACTTTTGTTTAAAGCCGAAAAAAGCGGATGTAATTTCTGTTTCAATTGAAAATGACCTGTGGAAAAGCAATATTTTGGGAAGTGATAACCCTGAAACTTTATTAAGTACAACTTTTTATTTGATCGGATTAAATTTCAGTATGAGGGCAGGGGATGACCCCCGCAAATTGAGTGGCAAATAGTTTCACGCGCGGTTACGTAGCTGCTGATGATAAATACTTATTTGGCGTGGAAATCATCGATTCTTGCTCAGTTTTTAGCGGAGCAACACAGGGGTGAACGGCTAACCCCCCACCGAAAAAATTGCATTGGTCGTATTACTAAGTACCTCCCAGCTTGGCTTAGTCCGCTGATCAATCATTTTCCCATACCTTAATACAACTGAACATGAATATGAATGTCAGTTGTTGAGCTGGAGTGTATTATCAGGTTTAAAAACTCGAGGCCAAGCCGAGAGTTTTTTACACTTTATAATACACGACTGCGAGTTTTTTGGACCGCTTTAATATCTTTGATATACAGTAGATCAACTCATTCGTGCACTAATATTTAGATTTGGTGTTATTTCGGTCTCAAAAAACTGGACGTAAAGTTTAGCCGTGTCTGTATCATATGTAAAGACACTAATTAAACATTAATTTCTTTTGTTTTTTTCTTTATGAATTCTTGATGCATTTTTGAAGCATATTGAAAGCTACACAGCAAGAAGTGAAGTCGATACAAGGATGTGATATCACCGGGGATTAAACAGGGACCTCGCGCAACGGAAGCCGCGCACTATGCAGCTGTGCCATCCTTGCGTCTAAGTAAGAACCTGCTATGATTAGTCTAGAACTCAATGGAACAAAAGGCCTGAGGATGTACGATGGTTAATGGGAGGATAGGTTTACTTTTGAGTTAAATAGTTAACAATTAATGAATGAGGCTGAGTATCTTATGAAGAATTATGGAGATCAAGGAGGGTGTTTTCCGTCGAGGCCGTAGGCCTCCGAATCAGCCAATCAGCCAATCAGCCAATCAGCCAATCAGCCAATCAGCCAATCAGAATCGGGGAAATATTTTGAACGAATAATAATGATTGTTGATGTTTGCTGTTGTAGCTCAACTTCAAATTTATTTTTCTCGTCATCCTATGCCACATTTTCATTTTTCTATATATCCTTTATCAGGATTATTTGTAATAAACCCTCCTTACCTTGCAACTAAGTTATCAACGTATTCACCAAGACCAAGATACAGCGTGTTAACAACAGTAGTATCTGAAAATAACACAGAGACAAATATATACGACTTTAAAGACATTGGGTAGAAATAAAGGCAATTAAAGTTCTGAACATTCTTTAGAGGGTCCTGAAGGAAAGGTGCAGTTTTGTTTTGAGATCCCCGAGTGTTCCTTCCCAAGCTCATCAATAATTCATGATTGTTTGGAAATCAGATGAAAAACTACTCATTTTTGCATCCTTAATTTCTCCTTCTAAAATCATTTTGTTTGAGAAGCAATATCAAGCTTTCGACAGAGCATTTCATCACTCGATGAAACACCTCGAAGTTCATCAAAAATACTCCGCTGCGCGTCGTATTTTCAACTCTCTTCTCAGTGTTTCATCTGGTGATGAAACACTGCCTCTCATGCTTGATATATTACATGAAAGTCTGCCCCAGATCCCTTTTCCTAGGAAAGGAGGTTCTGATCCCGCATTCCCTTCTGATCCTTCCCATTCCTTCCGTTTCTTATGAGAATCTAGCATGCCGAACTTCTGTCATCGTCATCCAGAATATCGTTTCCTTTTGCAATCCCCGCCGATTCGACCCGTACCCGCATTTTGGCGAATCCCACATCCTGTCAAACCCATGCCAATATCCCGTTAACTTAGCGTTTCGCGAATTCCGCGTTGTATTTGGTCAAATCCAGGATCCCGGGATAAAACACCCTTCCAGAACCCCTTTCCCTTCGAATTACTCAAACTCATCCTCCCGTTTAAATTGGCCCCATGAGGGAATTCAAGAAAGTCTTGGATTCTGTATTCTACACCGTGGATTCCGGATTTTTTGTCAGTGGAACTTAGATTCCAGATTCGAATGATTAGTGGGATTCCGGAATCCTTGAGCTGTATTCCTGATTCCTGTTATTACCCGAGGTGATGTTCATGCAATCATATTACTTCAACTTAAAACTTGTATATGAAGTTATGCTATTTTGAAGAATCATCAAAGAAACACTATGGCCTTTATGAATCGCGCAGATTCGAAGTCACTTTTTTGGACCAGGTAAAAATACATGTATTACTTTAGAGTAGAAACTTTAAAAAACATTGGTCCAACCTTAACTGATTGGTTCCTGTCAGCAATCTCACCTTGATTTTGAAACAAATACGACGGAAGAGTTATTTTTGCCAGTTTTTCAGCATCACCCTCTCCGGAAAAAGTAAAATTGTTTGGGTCACCCTTAGGTACCAGCGCTACCTGTAGAACTATATGAAGGAATGAAAGAAATATATGAACAAGATACTTGTCAGTTTATGAGAAGTTTAAATTCACTTTAATTCTTTCTGTACTAGACATAATTAGATAATAAAGAAATAGTGACACTAAAACGCAAAACTTAGGAAGGACTCAAACGTGTATTTCGTACCTATGTGTTGGTTTTTCTTTCTTGCCTCCCTTTTTGACGCATTCAAGTTAAAAGAGGCGTATTTAAACGCGAATTCTTCTATAGCTCTTGCTGATAACATTATACTTTCACCAATCGCAGTTTGGGAGTTTTCTTCCATGGAATGCATTAAATCTTTATATGCGTCTGTGATAAGCTGTGAAAAATAATAAATAAATAAATAAATAAATAAACAAATAAAAATAAATAATTTTGCATTCATCCTGGGTATTTAATATTGGGGTCAGGTTTTGCCCATTTATTGAGTGCCGACCACCCCTCCCCCTCCCCTCACCTGTAGTTTCCCCAGTGCGACTGCGTGATTTCACTAAGCTGTATTAGTACTAATCATTTTTAATTACTTCAGATTTACATTCAACTGAATACTTTTTTTTTCCGTTTGCATTTCCTACGCTAACCAAAAACTCTTACAGCACATTAGCTGATAGCATTTTTCGTTTCCATTCGTGATCAACCTTAAGCTGCATTTAAGCTATGAATTTTTTTTAAAATTCTTTCAACACCACGCTATTGATTCATTTTGTTATATTTTGATAAGTTACCACGATAATTGCCTCTTGTTCTTTTTTCGATTTTCTTACCTTTAATGAGACTGGGTCTTGTGGATTAAGTGACTCCACCTTTCTGTAAAAATCTAACAACTTAAAACAAATATATGAATTATTAGGAAGCATCCTAAAAACTCCAGGCAAATCAGACTTTACTTCGTATAAACTCTCATAGATGGGAGGATTTCGAATATTGCTTGTTTGAAAGATGTCCTACTAACAACTGCGATACAGGGAGAATCGTGTCGATAAAAAAGAGTCTAATCTGACTCGTTTTGAAAGTACTTGATAACTGTGCTTAATTTTAATCGAGCTAATAATAAACTTTAAGTTCTCGATTGTGACATATGTCGTTTACTCGTCGGTACTGTATAATGATACGATGCGCTTGGATTGGAATTTCCTGTTCAGTCAGACTTACTGGATAGTTAGAGCGCCTTTTAACACTATTTGAAGCTCTGTTCGAATCAACTGTTTTCCAAGGCGTCAAAGAAGGCGGAACATCGAGAGCAGTTGAAGTTAGTACCGTACTTTGCAGAACTTTCAGGGCAGTTGAAGACGTGTAAAGTGAAGTTTCAAATGCTTTCCAAGATGGTGCCGTTGGCAGAACGTCGAGAGTAGTTGAAGACGGGGAAGGTGAAGGGTTTGTAGCTAATGCCTTCCTTGATGCTTCGGTTGGCAGAACGTCGAAAGATACTGTCTTCGAAGTTGTAGCTGTTTGCAAAACTTGCAAGGCTGTTAAAGGAAAATAATTTTCATTGATATCAAAAGTTTTGCAGTGAGTCCTTCCTTACTTAATGTATACAATTGATTTTCTAGTCTTTTTCTAACTATGGACGTTCTGGGAGAGCTTCAAACGGGTAAGAGAAGTTTCTTAACTCTAAGAAGCTGGTAAAAAGTACAATACAGTCGACTCTCTCTTAACGGACACCTCTATAAGACGGACACTGACCTAGAGTTGGTCCCTGCCTTTCTTTACCCTATATTTTAGTCTATAAGACGAACACCTCTGTAAAACGGACACCTAGAGTTGGTCCCTGCCTTTCTTTACCCCTATATTTTAGTCTATAAGACGGACACCTCTGTAAAACGGACACCTAGAGTTGGTCCCTACCTTTCTTTACCCCTACATTTTAGTCTATAAAACGTACACCTCTGTAAAACGGACGCCTAGAGTGGGTCCCTGCCTTTCTTTACTCCCTTTATTTGACTCTTTATAAGAAGGACACTTATTCCCGGTCCTACAGGTGACTGTCTTGGAGACAGTTGACTGTAGATGAAAGATAATTACTGGGTAAGCAACATTTATTAACTGCCATCACTGTCTTCAACCGTGAAAGTTAATGATTGTTGCTCAGACACCCAGTAATTAACTTTCATCTACCTTAATAATTTAGATCACGTTTGGGACCTGAGCAAATGTTTAGGGTTGGCATAGCGTTGGAGTAAATTTTTGACAACCGTGCAGGAGGCAAACTTGTTAACTTTACTACTGACCCGTCCTAAACTGGCGACAAGAGAAAAGGTCATGGTGATCAAAGGGAAAATACTTTGATCTTTTATCAAATTCTCTTTAATAAAATGTATTGCGATCAGTCTGGCGAATTTTTAATGCAGATATTTAGTTAAAGGGTTTCGGAGAATGTGGGTGCCGTAGACTTAAGGTTGATTTCCACTGTTGCGTAATTTTAACGTGCTTACGTACGTAAATTTTACGCGCGTAAATGAAATAGACTGGTAGTGTATGGGAGATCACGCGTAAACGCAAAAGTTGAACCTCGCTCAACTTTTACGTTTATAACGTACAACCTGTCATACATCACCTCTATTTTATTTACGCGCGCACGCGCGTGAAAATTACGCGACAGTGGAGATCTATCCTTAGGTCACTTTTTGAGAGGTGTAGTATGTCCTACGATTTAGCTATATGTACGATTAAATTAACCAAGTTGGAAGCACTCCATAGCCGAGGAAAGAAATAAATACCCTTTTTTATTTCGATAAATGGGCATCTAAAAACCGTTCCCTAATTCCGCAAGGGACCACCTTTCACAGGAAGTATCCTTAAGTTGGATACGTCCTTAATTCCACATAGGCCACCTACCACCCGGCCCAGTTACGTCAGTAATCTCCCGATCTGACTTACCTCTAATCGTCGTCTGTCTTTTCAGTGGTCTGGTGAATATTGTATTTGATTTTTTGATTAGTTGCACATGATTTGTTTGCGTGCAGCAGCAGAAAGGGAAGGAAAGACTTTTAGTAAAATCCAACTAGTGGTCTATTATCAATGCTGCGTTCTGACTGGTTGAACTACTGCTAGGCTATATGTTATAGCCCACTAGTAGCGAAAAGCGCGGGCCTTTTGGTGGCAAAAAAGGATTAAAGTCTAGCTTTAACTTTAATTTTAGCTTTTAATTTTAACTTTAATTTTTTCCATTCTCGATATTTTTGACTAACTAGTTGGATTTTACTGAAACAATTATTCCTCGAGCCCTCATGGCCTCTGAGTCAATAGCCCATTCGGCCGACTCAGAGCCCATTCCATCCTCGGAGACCCAGGGGCAGATAAAGGGGGCGAGGGAAAGTCTAAACGGGCGGAAAAATATATATGGAACGAAGAAAAGTAAAGAACGGCGAGAAGAGCCCCTGGGGACAATGTCTTACCAGACCAGTTCCAAACGGTCGCCGCCGTTCTGGCTTCTGATTGGTGCCAGAAAACTTGTGTTTTTCTGGCACCAATCAGAAGCCAGAACGGCGGCGACCGTTTGGAACTGGTCTGGTAAGACATTGTCCCCAGGGGCTATTCTCGCCGTTCTTTACTTTTCTTCGTGCCACATTTTTCCGCCGGTTTAGACTTTCCCTCGCCCCCACTATCTGCCCCTGGGTCTCCGAGGATGAGCCCATTCGGGCTCGAGGAATAATTGTTGAATATCTCTCCTTCCCATTTGACGAGATTTGTCAGCGGTACCATAAGGTATTACTATCAAAAATCAGTCTTAAAAGTCACTGAATCACTGGTCGACTGGTTAGCTGAGGTGTGACCATTTCAATGAATAAACCTCCAACTTATTAATTGACTATAACTATGGTTTAAAACCTTACCTGTGGAGCTATTTTGGCAGATATAGCCATATTTTTTATCGTGGCAGTTCTTTCCTAAAATACATGGAGACGAAGAATAATCTATATCCTGCAATATATAGCAATAGTGATTGTGGCTGGCTCCTGGCTTTTTCCCACACCTTAAACTGTCGAAGTTTTCCTGGGTTATAGTTCCGTTACTCAACACAAACTGTCCAATAGTCACGTTAAAGGAGAGTCCAATCCAGAATTTATCAGAATTCTTGTATCTTAGAGATACCAGTCTTTCCGCCAGTTCGTCAATCTTTGGCTGGGAATCAAGAAGGGCCAAAATAGACCCATTGCTTTTGCATAGTTCTTCTGCTTCTATCCAGGTCGTTTTAGTATCAACTATGTGATACTCGGTTGCCACGATAAAACCAAGAATGTCTGAAAAAAAAAGGAAATGGAAACTGAGTCGTTAACAGAGCATCATTATACCTTTTTTGGGTAACTGCCCACCTACCCCTCCCCTAAGCCAAAGTGTTGTTGTGTTGTCTTGTTGGCTTAGGGGAGGGGTAGGGCAGTTTCCCAGATACGTTCTTCCATAGACATCAACAACACTGCTGCAAAAATAACACTATCGCTATTTGTTACTGCGGCCAACGGCTTCCTAACACCGTTGCCAATCATGTCGCATTACCAAACTAAACAAATATTTTCACCGTAACGACCAACAAAAACAACAATTTTATTAAAAGCAATGAAATACATTAAACATACACACTACCTGCATTTAGCTTAAGCTATTCGAGGCAGGCAGGGTGCGATGGGTACTCTACATACATGTACGGATAAACTTAAGACATTTTACATGGAAAATAAAAGAGATTTAATTTTTAACCACTTGATCGATATCGACTAATAGCGTGCGTTTCTCTAAGCTCTAAGCGTCGTTGATGTGAGAGTAGAAAACTTTTTTATGTCCAATTTATGTGACGTACACGGCAAGGCCACTATAAGTTAAATAAAAATAGTTATTAAAAACATTAAAGACAATGTTACAAAAGGGCTTAATGGTATTTGAAGTGATGATGAATTTGGTTTATAATTTGAGATTATTCTTCGAATGGCCTAAATTTCTTAGGCAACTAGCATTGACGATGCCAGAGGGGTAGTGAATTCAATACGTTTAATATACAGTTATTACCGGTACTTCCTTCAGTTATTTCTACAACAGAGCATTTTGAAAAGCGTTTTCTCGAACACAAATAAGATAAAAGGAAACAAAATAAATATACTAACTTACCCGAAATAAGAAACAACCAGTAGACAAGCAACATTGCAGCCCTTTAATACTCGTGATAACATCACCATGCGTTAATGAACTTATTTCCCTCAATATATCCAATCAGCGACAGTGGGGTCCTATGTTTCCTCTGAGCTTGTTCATTCCACATTATTTCCGTTCTAATGAAAAAAGCATGACCTGGGTGAAAAAACAAACAAAATACAGCTATCATTAGATTGATATCTTTTTATGGAAACTGATGTTCTTATGTTCTAATGTTTTTTTTTTCTTTTAAGAATCAACACGGAGCGATTTAGTTGTAAATACAACAGGGATTTTTTCACATGCACATTGTATCTGTCAGAAATTTTCTGACTCCAGCAGCAATTGATGATGCCCTACTGACTCCATGTAGGTTAATAATCTTAGAAAGAAAATAAATGTACTAAGTATTACTACGCATTTAATTTGCTACCCTTTATTACTTGCACCTCCCCGTCTCTACAAGAGGGACGTAGGTGCAACATTGCTTCATTTGAAATGAATTTCCTGGTTTTTAGAATAAAATGATTGGTTTGGATTATCAAATTTTTAACTATTTAAAATTGCTTAAGAGTCAAGGCATAAATCTAAGCACCCCTCCCGTACTACTCTCTAACAAAGTAAAGAGACATACTGTGTAGCAGCCGCAGAATGTTGATTAGAAGCGACTCGCGAAGCTAACCTGAAGGCACTGCAAGCTCATACAAGAAAATGATTGGTTTGGATTTGAATTTTGACTTTACTCTTCTATATCTGTCAGTTTGTTTTATTTGAATATTAGGTTTTTTAGCAGCAGAATGTTGATTAGAAGCTACTCGCGAAGCTAACCTAAAGGCACTGCAGGCTCATACAATAAAATGATTGCTTTGGATTATCAAATTTTTAACTATTTAAAATTGCTTAAGAGTCAAGGCATAAATCTAAGCACCCCTCCCGTACTACTCTCTAACAAAGTAAAGAGACATACTGTGTACCCTCAAACAAAGAGTAAAACATTCAGACAAAACTGAAAAACAAATTAAACAAACTGACTGTTGTCAATTTTCTATCAAAGTATTCAAGAGTGATAAGATTTTTTTGCTAAACTGGCCAGGAAAAGGTCATTAAGTTTTTCTTACTTTGTTGACCACAATGATATCGTAGTGCTTGCCAAATTCTAACGTTCAGATTGCACCAGATCGCATCCTAGAGAGAAAAAAAGGGAAAAGGGAAAAAAAAGGCTTAATATAATATTGCTACCAAACGCAACTGAGGTCTAACACGGCTAAATAATTTAGCCTTGTTAGACCTCCATTGTGTTTTGTAGCAATATATCTTTTTTCTTTTATATTCCACTTGAGTTAAAAGGCTGTCTAAATGGTTTCAGGAAGAAATTAGCATTCACCACTTTGTTCACAGCGTTTCATAATAGGACACATGCCTTTCATGACATGTTATAGTGTCTATTTAACGCCACATTTCGAATTTGCCACAAAAAAATCGAAGAAATGCTTCGCCATTTTGATTATATGCTTTGCCAGCAAATTCATCCTGAAGAAAAAATATACATCGTAACATAGTTACATGATATATTTAATTAAACCAATGGGAAAAGACAACCTGTTTTGGAGCATTGCTCCAGGGTATATTTGGGAAGTCTAAATTATCACTGACCACGTATAAAGATCCTAACTGCATTAATTTTCAGCAATTTGTCTCTTGAAGTCAAAATAGAGAAATTCGAAAATGAATTTATTCATGTCATTACAACACAATAAAAAAGGGATGGCTAATCATCAAAGCTAAAATTTAATGGTAATTTGAATATTGAATTTCCCTTTTTTTATCAGTTTGTTTCATTTGAATATTAGGTTTTTTAGCAACAGAATGTTTAAGCAACTCGCGAAGCTAACCTGAAGGCACTGCAAGCAACAAGAGGCGGGAAACTTAGCGCGACACTCATGCACCGCTGTGGCTTTTGACAGGATGTTCGGCATTTGTTATCATCGTTCACCGAGCTCATTTTTCCTATGAACATTCATGTGTACCTCAGTGTGTATATAATAAGGAAGTCTACAGCATTTCACTAGGTTTTGATAGAAAATTGTGCCATATTTTTGCCACTTGTTCTGTAAAGCAGTTTAGGCAAGATATTAGGCTTGTTTCGGAAGCTCGGAACTTCATAATATAATTATCAAATTTTAACGAGACCTATCCAGTTTATTTTATTTTTAAGTAGAAGAGTTTCCCGATTGTACGAAATTTATCTCACTGAATGACTTTTAAAGCAACGTAAAATATTGTTTCGCTAATAAGAACAAGTAAACGATTTAGCGTTAATGAAATGGGAACTCTCGTGCTTCTTAAGATGAAGGGAATTGGTTGATGTCGATAGGCAAATCAAGGAAAGTTTTAGGGTCGGTTATTTAAAGGAATTTTATCTCAGAGCGCGGTTAAGAAATCTTTGAGCCTCCAGTCGAGATCTCTTCTTTTAGTGAGTTAATTAAAGAATATAAATGGACATGACATTTCAGCTGGATTAACCCCTATGGAAACTGGTTATGAAAGGAAGCCTTCATGTCGCTTGGAAGCGCATAACCAGTCCGAACTGGCTACTAGTAAGGGGTAGAAAAACTACAATATAACACGCTTGGATATTGCACGCCGATCCTTTACTTTATAAGGCTCATTCTCTCTTGGTGAAAATGATGTCATAGGCGGCTTTTGACTTTGATTATTTCAAGCTTAATTATTTCCAAGAAAGCCGTGTCATAGTGATGATTGAATATAATTATGTAGACATCGAAATGATAAATTGCTTCTTGTTCTCTGGATGAGAAGTATCTATTGAAATCGCTTTGACCAGCCACCGTCCTGTAATGTTTTGATCTTTATACTATAATTATGCATGTTTAGTACCATTTCGCCGTGAAGTAAAAAGAAAATATCATAGTGGAAAGAACATGCTTTAACTTTTTTTAGAATAGGGAGTACTTTTAACGTATTCCACTAAGAAAGAAAACAAGAAAAAGCCGGAAAGAAAGAGTGTGGTGTTGAAGTCATTAAATAATAATAATAATAATAATAATAATAATAATAATAATAATTTTAATAGTTAGCATTGTTGTCATATATTTAGTTTTTAATTTGCAAACAACACGATATAATTTAAAATTGTAAAATACTACTTATTGTTCTGATACTTAAATATAGTTATTATTGTTAAAATAATAATAATAATAATAATAATAATGAATAATAATAACAATTAGGAATGGTAACAGGACTAAGTGGAGTCTTATTCGTTCTGTAATTATGCGAGTGATTAACAAAATCGGACGACCGCGTAACGTCAATTTTCAATTAGGGAGTTTATTGCAACGTCACTAGTGTATTTTTCCGACGCAATATATAAATAATTCTGCATCAAATATAGTCCTTGTTAGCCAAAAGAATTTATAATTTTAGGAAACCTTGGTACGAATTTACTACATTTTGTCGACAATAATAAACCGCCAGAAGGAATCTGCAAAAGGGCTTCCTTTTAGGTAGAGCCGAGTTTAAATCTGGCTGGGTTTTTTCGTCATCCTCTGATTGCTAAAGCACTGCAGAGCATTCAGAACCCGAGCCCGAGTACGCGCATACTTTGCGACTCTTATTTACAGCTATTTCGAGAAAGATTGTCGGAAAAGTGCACGCGACAATCCCGAAAGGCTTGTGGGTGGTTTTGAGTTCTCTGTTCTTCAAAGAAGTTTGAAAGAATTGGCACGAAGGGCCATGGAAATGTGTTTACGAGTGCTAAAGGAAAGCAACAAAAGTAGGTTCGACAGCTACAGTCGTCAGGAACAGTGTATTGATCATATCCCATATTACCTTTCGGGTCTGTCGCGTGCACATTTTTTCCGACATTCTCGAAATGGCTGTATATTACATTTAGGTCATGAGAAAGTTAAATAAATAACTAGTAATAGTCGACACTACAGCTGCCCCCGCTCTGTATATTGTGGGTCAATAGCATTCTTGTTCGTTGTGTAGCTCTTTGAAATATACCGATTCATAAGGAAGATTTTCACACATATTCCATACAATAGGTCAGATAAATACAGGAAACACAAGGTTCCATGAACAGTTTCAGGTCGATTTACACAGCTTTGATCAAAACATTCTCAGTTTCGAGAATAGTTTAGTCTAAACCATGAGAAAAGATTTAATAAGAAGTTGAATTTTTCGCTATTTCTCTTTCACTTTTTACATTCAGTTCATTTTATTTGCTGGAAAGGAAGCCTTAGAAATTAAAAGGACGTTTGATCAATTCACACTAGCGCATTCTAGTATTATTTTAAACTTTATAGCGGAAGGATATCTGTGAGGAGAGAATAAGTCAACACAGACTTTGATTGTCGGCGAATTTCTGTAATCGTCCATCGTTCTGCTAGTGAGAGGCTAGCCATTGTTCACACGTCTTGCTTGTTTGGGGCTGAGTCTTATTCCGGTTAAAGAGAGAGAACTCGTGTCTGGCAAGGTTTCCAATGAAAGATTTGTGAACTCGTGTCTGGCAAACTCTCAAAGTGTTTATATATACACAGTTATACGCACCTTATAACTTCTTCTGCGCTTAACGAGTGTCGTTAAAATTTTGGTCCATAACTTTCACCGAAACAACTGCTCCACAGAATGTCACTGATAACACGTAACGCAAAAGAGTGTCGAAGTATGACTACACAATAAATGTCACAAAATCTACCTAGGCGGTCCCTTGGGGATGTTCTGTCTTTTCGTCATCCTAACCATTGCGTACTTGCGGGCGCAAACAATAGAAACGTCATCATTACCTACCGATTCCTCGCGGCCCCTGTTCAAGCAAATCGAGATGTTTTCAATATTGACTGTATGACTGTATATTTCAACTGTAAGTACTTTCCTTAATATATGCACGAGTTACTAGAGTGCCTCCTCGGGATGTCGCCTTCTGGGCGAAATCCCTGCGGGGGAAATAAAGAAATTATAATAACCAGGCGACTCCATCACAATGCAGGGTGATTTTATTTTCAGGGAGGTCCTGAAAATAAAAAAAAATGTAAAAAGATAAAAATCCACAAAAAAATTCCTACCCTAAAAACCTAGTAAATGATCACAAGGAACTATTAAAAATATTATTAAACGTTAAAAAGTC